ATAGAACCGAGGTCCATTTTCGCCGGACGCCCCCGAGAAGGCCAAAGAGAAAATGGTGAGGAAATGGTCCAAGGATCAATCCCCCATGATTTTCACAATTTTTGCATTTCGGTTGGAGCCTCAAAATTGCGCCATATCGCCAGCGCTGAAAGCAGGCATCATGTTCATCATTTGGACCATCACTAACTATTACACTTAGATTTTAACTGGAATCTGGCGAAAGAAATTGTAACGCTAGAAGGGCGATAATGGTGCCGAAGTGGTGTAAATTGGAGCCATCTGAGAAAGAGGATGTCATATTCGTGATGAAAGCATAGGACCGAAGTAGAAGTTTTGGAAAAAATTGAGATTTTGTGCCAGTTCCGAAAATTTGGCCGTCGACAGTCGGCCTGACTTTCTTCGTTACTATCTTTGACTGTCACTGACTAGTAGCCGTCGTAGATTTGCTGATCCAAAATAGTTTTTTTTTCAGTTTTGTTCTTTCAGGTAGCAATGAGTAGTAGCTATTTATTACCAAACACAATATTGCTCTGTTTCGTTCGAGAACGTGACTTTCAGGATTTTGATTTTTGCTTGATACTAAGCACTTGATGTTCTAGATATAGAAATAGATTTAAAAAAATCTATCGTTTAACGGTGCATAAAAAAGCAGGTGTAATGGAAGCAGTTTCGGTACGGCATTGAACTTCTCAACAGCAAGCTTGTTTCGACAACAACATCGCAAATATTTCTATTTACATACTTTAAAGTATGTATAAGGCCCTCGTTTATTCAGGCGGATAAGACAGGCATACTCAACTACTTCATACCGATACCACTCTCCACCTCTAAGTGAATATCAAAGTTAAAGGGGTCATATCAAGACCCCAATTTTAGAGGGATCGTATTAAGACCCTGATTTTAGGGAGGGCAATATCAAGACCCTGATTTTAGAGATGGTCGTACTGCTGCGACCTCGTCCTCAACAGGACTTTTACCGCAGCGCTGTGCGCCTGACTGTGTATGAGCGCCTGCGACTGCGTGCCACAAAATCTAGTATATATGTATTTCCTAAATAAGGACGGTCTAACTTGGGATGGGTGCGGCATAGGCCATGATTCTGAAAATGGCGTGAACTAAGTGGACCTAAATTCACGAAAGGCGAGAAATACGGCGAAATGGGCTCTGCCAAAAGCAGAATTTCCGACTCGGTTTCATAACACCCCGAGGCTCTAAGGTGGAGTTACTACGAAAACTCGCAGCACGATTTCAATGCAGTCCAGACGAGAACTGCAAAAGTTGACACGAGCAATTTGTGCTAAATATATGCAAAAAAAACGGACTCATTCCTGCTCGCAATGATCGGAACGTGTCCCCGAAAGTTGGAAAAATTACCTGCTCATCCGCTAGTATTCTCCGGTCAGCATAAACTCTAGGGTATTATGCAAGGCAAAGTGAAATCGTAAGAGGAAAGTGAAAACGTCACAACAGATGTAACGCACGCCAGGATAAGCGAAGCCGGACCCAAAAGTCTTTAAAAAAACTTTCAAGACAGGCTGAAGGCATGGAAAAATGAACTGTCTAGAAAAGGAGAGTAGAATAATTTGGCTGATCGGGACACGCAACTGAATGAAGGAGGTGAAGCCATATAGGCATAATGAGGTTTTGAGGCGGCCTGAGGTAGGTAGAAAAAAGGTATTATAGATAGAGTTCAATTGGATTGAGTAGGTCAGATGCTCATTGCACTGCGTGCTCCGAGCTGCTACAACCGAAAATCCCAGAGCCCCCGCTTGATGTTTCAGGTCCATGCGACACCGCGCCCGTGCGCGTACCCAATTTGAATCAGTAATCATCGAAGGAGCCATAATGGTGCAAAATCGCTCACAATAATAGAATTCATGGACAGAAACTTTGAGCAAAAGATAGTAAAAGTTAGATATTAGTATATTTTGTTTTCCAACACCAGATTGACGCTATTCGAACCGTGCGTGACATGTAAAAATAAGGCCATGCATACAAATTTACCGGGAAATCGCCTTTGTAGTAGTGCCACGTTATGTGAGCGACAAAGTCCACTGAGAAACCAATTGCCAAATACAGACACAAGCTCGTCATTCACCACCGCAGCATTCGACTCCAATCGATATTGAGATAGCCGCAAGGCCAATCCAGAGACACTCCCCCATACACCACTGTCAGTGAGGCGTAAAATCGGGTCAATCACCTTGTGATGGACAAAAACAGAAGCTGTACTTCACTGCTCTCAGTGGGGCTAAAAGGCCTGGTAGCACTTAGCCCACGGCAAATCTTGGCTCGCCACTCTCCCCGTGGTGTAAAATTTTTCTCTCCGCCGCTGTCCTGCTTCTCTATCTCCATCTGTTCGCAATCTCTGAGTCTGGGAGATCGGTCTTCTGCTGCCTCGGCAACGCCGCAGTGGCCAATTACCTACTTTTTTAGTGTTTTGCCCAGACTTAAACTTGTAAGCTTGCCCACGGCTTCAGAAGGAAAATAGGAAAAGCCATTGCTTCCGAGGATTCTTCGATTTTTTTTTTACCTCCCTCCACGAGCAATCCAGCTTGTACATTTTCTCTCATTTCCGAGCAGAACTCAATCTAGTATCAGTGGAACATGCCATGGGTGCATGCTTCTCCTCGGAGGCAGTGGGTGCGATTGTTTAGATAAAAATCGGTTTTGATGACCTTGACAGACGTCATTGGAAGGGCATTATAACGGGATCCTGCTCCTTCTCAACAATCGCACACAGTTCTTCTTCCTAGCGCAAGTCTTGCGTAGTCGCAGGATTCGCTTCTTCATCAGCTGTCGCCACATTGTTCTGCTCAGCGTGTCTTCTGCTGTGGTGGTGACTTCACTTATGTTTAGATCCTTTTTAATGACGTCTAATCTACCCTAAAATCCCATAGATAAGAGCGGTTTAATTTACCGGTGAAAAATGAATTGGAATGAAATTGAAATTGAATGCAGTCACCCCTCTAACTTGATGGATGGATAAATAAAAATCGGAGAAGAAGTTTAGAAGAAGCTCCGTCCCTCAACTCTAAACCCCGCCCACTTAATAAACAATTCATATAGAAAAATAGCGATTTTAACGGAATTTCTGCCGGAATCTCTCTAGAAATGCCGGAATTTGATCTCTGGATAGAACTTGAAGAGCCCATTCGATCAGTAAAATTCCATAGATAAGAGCGGTTTAATTTACCGGTAAAAAATGATTTTGAAAAAATATTTTTATTTTTATTTTATTTTTGAAAAAATATCTATGGACCGCTCTTATCTATGGGATTTTAGGGTACATTTTCTTGGGGCTCCTCGCGGTCGCTTGCCTTGCGCTTCGAAGTCCATTGCTTTCCTTATCGGGTGGTCCTGTGGCCTCCTTAGCACATGCCCATACCATCGCAGACGCTGTTCCCTCACCTTCAGCTGGACAGGGGCAGTCTGCATGACCGCTCTGACATCCTCGTTTCTGACCCTGTCCAGTCGCGTCCAGCCGCAGGCCCATCTCAGCATCCTCATCTCAGCGGAGTGAAGCTGCCTTTCGTGATTCTTGTTCAGGGGCCAGCACTCGCTGCCGTATAGCATCGCAGGCCTTACCACTGTCCGGTACACCTTCCCTTTGAGCGTTCTGGAGCACCTTCGATCGCAGAGGATTCCAGTGGACTCCATTTCATCCATGCCGCGTTGACCGTGCCTTCACTGCCTGATCCACACTGCCGTCGGCTGCCAGATCGCTCCCAAGGTATCGGAAGTCCTCCACTCTTTCGATGGTCTCACCATGGCCGTCTACGATCGGCTCTGCACCCTCTTCAGAGCTCAGGAACTTGGTCTTCTTGACATTCAGCCGGAGCCCACCTTCTGCCAGCACTTCCTGCCATTTCTGCACCTTGCTGTAGTTCTTCTCTGCTATCCGCTATCAGGGCGATGTCGTCAGCGTAGAGGATGTTCCTAAGTGAGTCCATGAGCTCCACCATGACATCTGATGTTAGGAGGAACAGGAAAGGCTCAGAACCGATCCTTGGAGCACCCCATATTACTGGTCGCGGTATCCGGTCGAAGGCCTTTTCGACCTGATGGCACCGTCAAGGCTCAGACAAACCTCGTCTTCACATTTTCGGGGCATTCCGGCTTGCGGTGCGTACACGAACAGTATTCCAGTACCCCTCCTTCGTGTCTATCCTCACAGCCATGATCCGATCGCTGATCCTGTTCACAGCGGAGACATAGTCCTTGAGCGACTCCGCTACCGCTATGGCCACGCCGTTCCGCTTGGTGTCTTCTCCATTGTAGTAGAGTTTGACACCTTCCCAATTTCCCTGGCCTCCCTTTCCGTCACTTTCCATCATGTCTCCTGAGAGCACAGGACTTGGAGGCTCCCAAGCGTCATTAGATCACCAAACTCCTTGACTTCGCCGTGAGCGGTATTACGTTCCCCATTTGAACTAGCTTCTTTGGCCGAGGCCGTTCACTCCTCGGTAGCCCTCGCATACTGACCACAGAACTCGGGCGGGGGTTCTGCGCGCCACTTCCGGGTGACGTCCTAGCTTTATCACTTTTTCGACTTTAGACATTTTGTGTGACTGGGGTGTTCATCAGCCGGCCTGTCAACCTGGGCCTGACGCTGGTACTAGAACCATTTTTGCAATTTTTGCAAGGCATGGTTTAGAGCCTCGGCAGGGATCGAACTCGCGGTTTTTCAGAGGTGCAGACATGAGTCTAACCTCTTGAACCACTCAGGCCATACTTGCCTCAACCATCGCACAAACCGTTTGAAACTTTGCAGCGGGTATTATACCTAAACTCGGAGCTCGAGATTCAAGATCCGAAAAAAATCGAAATTGAGGTATCATGGACACGAACAAGTATAAGCGCGGCGTAAGAGGTTAACTCCAGGGTAGGGCGGGACTCTAGGTGGAGCTCGCCCTGTGGTTGGACCTTCCGCGGCTGCCTGGGAATGTCATGCGGTGGAGTAGGTACATTCCGTATGCTTGCGCAGCTTCACTCCAGACCTGATCGTTGGGTCCACCTTCAAGAACCGCCTCATACATCAACTCACCAAGATTGATCGACAACACTGAGCAGGAAGATGTCACAATGGTGACTGGGGAGGGTGTAAAAAGCGTGAGTACAATCAGCATGCAAACAAGAGCAAAAAAGACCGTCTGCTGCGTGACAGGAACGATGGATAGCAACTGAAATTAGTTTAGTATTTTGTGAATTGCACTCTCTGACTACCATTACAACAATATGTACATTCTTGAAAGCACCTGATCAGAGTACATCGAGAAATCTTCGTAGACGGTGAGATTAAGATGGCGATATTCACTGGCGATGTTTCTCCATTGCTCTAGCAAACTTAAGCGCTCTGTCCAGGTGACAGCATTGTGGAATCCGGTGGAAAAGACGAACTTTTGCAGACAAGACGGTCTTTCAGCAAGGCAGTCGCTGAAGAATGAACGAGTTAGCCAAGTCTGAGAACTGGATTAGAGTGAACTTTCCGGTAGAATTTCCCCCCAACAGAAACTGTGGTGTGGGTTCATAACTGTGATTTGTGAATGGCGCCGTCTTGAGGTTCATTAACGTCAACTGTCCGCTGAGAAGGTCGAATCTGGTTATGTTGAAGTGATTGAGATCGTAGGAAAAAAAGGTATTCTCCCGCTGGTTAGAAGGATTTGAAGAAAGGGGGGGGGATGGGAAAATTGGAATCACTCAGTACCATAACCAAATTCTATTAAAATATTAATTGTA